TATATATATATATATATATATATATATATATATATCGTCAAATAGAACTGCCCGGTAAACTGTAGGCAGAGAGGGAGAAGAGGACAACAAACGAGGGGCTGTGACAAACTGTTTCGTCGGAGTTTCACCGACTCATCATACGGGAGCTAACCAGTTTGTTCCATATGGGACACACGCTTCCAGAATTGTTTACGCAAGAAGAAAATCCATTTACCAGTAGTGATCCCCATTTCGTCAAGCACTGCCTTGCTGTAGCAATGTGACAGTTGTGTAGTGCTCATCAACTCTGCCAAAAAAACTGTGTAATCACTAATTTTGCTTTTTGACTGTTTTACACAAGCTGCCGATGCACGGCAAAAAGACAGCATGCGTGTTCTTTTGGACTTTTACTGTTTTATACCAAGTAAACCGATTCGCACGCGCGAGACATGAACCCATACCCGCCCTCGACATAGGGAGAGGGGAACGCGATGAACAGAACTCAGAAAAAGCATCATACGCCAAGTATCAGCATGCTCATATGGCAATGGAGCATGTTGCAATTTAGCTCATGTTGTCAGTGCTATACCGTCTTCACCCGAATAGAACACCCAGTCATGATAGCTGTATTCGGCACAACTTCCAATCCAGATGCAGCGATAATGACCCGGCATTCTATTCTGGTGAAAACCATAGCAGGCTCGAACACGACTACATCCAGATGAATCATCTGGTTTGTGTATCTTGCAGTCAAAGACTTACCATCTTCCCCTGCACATAATGCCTACCGTCTTCACCCGAATAGAACGCCCCGTAATTATCGCCGTATCTGGGCTGAAAGTTGTGCCAAATACAGCTATAATGACCGGGCATTGTATTCGGGTGAAGCCAGTAAGTGCTATTTTAAGCTTTCTGACCAAAAGGTCTAATTTATTGAGGAAAAGAAGGAAACACACACACACACACACACACACACACACACACACACACACACACACACACATACACTGTGGTATCATCCGGCATGCGCTAAATTGAAGTCCCTGTGGACCAGCACCGACCTGAGACAGGTAGGCAGTGATTGCAGAGTTTGAAAATCATGTACTTCTCCAAAACCAGAATGGATATGGCCGTAAGCCTCCATTTCGATTGAGGGAAAAAAAAAAAGATAACCCAGAACCAGAAGTGTCAACAGATTTCCCATCTTCCGCCGTACATAATGCCTAGGTGGTATTTCTAAGTTCTCTGCCAAAAAGATCCCAAAAAAAAAACACCACGTGGCATCATCTGGCATGCACTAAGTCTGTACTTTTCCCAGCTTTGGACGTCCTCCATGGATACACGGATTTGAACCAGCGCCCTCAGCCTCAACAGCCGAGTTTCTTAACCACTACAGCCATGGCACACAAAAGTGAAACCATACCGGTCTTCATATCCAACCCACCCCTCCATAGCTGTAGTGTAGCCAATCACAAACAATACTGACACAGAAGGACACACTTGAATCGCCTCATGCCTGGGCCCTCTTAAACCGCCAGTACACGGCCCCAGCCTTGCAGAAATATTCTGTCGCCACAAGAAAGTCTCTGAGCAACTTTCGGGGTCGGCGCAGGCCATTGATGAAAATTATCAATGGCCAGTGTCGCGTTTCAGAGGCCATGTCAGGTGCCCATGTCCTGGTGGTCCGCACCTTACTCCACACACACACACACACGCACACACACACACACACACACACACACACACACACACACACACAAACACACACACACACACACACAACACCATGGTATATGCTGAGTTGATGTCCCCGTGAATAGGCACTGACCTGAGACGGGTAGGCCTTGATTGCAGAGTTGGAAAGCCATGTACTTCTCCGAATATCATAGAACAGGATGCGTCCATTGTTCGTGCCAACAGCGAGAACACGCCCATCATCTTTTATAGCGAGAGAGGAAAGAGGGGCTTCCGCCACCACGGTGCTCACTGGCGTCTTATTCGTTATGTCATAAAAAATAAGCCGTTTATCAAGTCCTGCGCTGACAACAAACTGCGCACACCCATGTACACCCCAAACATGTCAGAACAAAGGACAACAAGCATAAGAAAAGCATACTTACTACATTATCACTACCATCTTCTTCCAAACACAACGCGCCCTAATCATGAGTGCATAGCGCCAGAAAGTTACCTTGTATACATTCATGATAAGGGTGCATTGTGCTCGGGGGCAAGATGGAGTAGGTTGGTTCCCCAAAAAAATGTGAAAACCTAACATTCAAATTTCCACCAAACCAAACATTCAAGCTACCAGTCTGCTACCGTCTTCACCCGAATAGAACGCCCAGTCTAGATAGCGTGAAAATGATCGGGTGTGCTAAGATGGCAGCCAGCGTTCCCAATAAGCTTGCGGGTTGTCAAAGGTGTAAACTGCACAACATTCTAAATGTATCTGGAGCCAGTAGTCATCCCCATGCATTTAAATTTTAAACTGTTGGATCTCTCCGAACGTATCTGGTGCAATTCACAGTCCAGATGCATGTTGAATGTAGTGTAGTAGAGCGAAGCCCTAAATGATAACTCCATCTTTTCAATGGACAAATGCATTGCATCATTCTAGAAACCGCCCAAACATTTTACAAAAGAGCCAAGAAGAAAGGCTGCAGCACATATGACCGGGGATGCTCCCAAGTCAGAACTTTGTAACCAAGGTATCGTGGAACAACTACCGTCTTGACCCGAATAGAAACGCATTGCCGTATCTGGACTGAAAGCTGCCCCAATACAGCTGTAATGACCGGGGGTTCTATTCGGGTGACGACGGTAAGCCTAGTAGATCCAGCTAGCTAATACACGCGCAACAAACAAAGCCAACAGAAACGGGACAGAAGACAATGTAAGGAAGCTAAAGAAGGGAGATGCATTAACCGAAGGGGAGGGGGGAAGCAAAAACATTTCTGGCCCACGCCACACTGTGCTACGACCATCGACAACATATCTAGAGGATCACTATCGACTTCCCCCGGATAGAGCCTACACTCGTTACCGCTGTATGTGGACTGAAAGTCGACAGAAATACAGGTGTAATGACCGTACGACACGTGAAAGTTCCGAAGACCCTGAAAACCACCTGTTTAGGCAGGCTGCATCCTGAAGTGGTGAAATGAGAGTTTTGGGCAGTCTGAAAATCTTGAATGGTCCTAAAGTGGTGAAGGTCCGAAGACCCTGAAAACCACCTGTTTAGGCAGGCTGCATCCTGAAACCCTGAAAGGGTATCATGAAGTGGTGAAGTGTGTCATGAAGTGGTGAAAGGTCCTAAAACCCTGAAAACCACCTGTTTAGGGAGGCTGCATCCTGAAGTGGTGAAGGGTGTCCTGAAGTGGTGAAAGGTCGGAAGACCTTGAAAACCACCTGTTTAGGCAGGCTGCATCCTGAAGTGGTGAAGAGTGTCTTGAAGTGGTGATGAACAATACGACTGTTGTTAACCTTCTCTCGTCTGAGAGGGGTGTTTAAACGGTGCATTACAAAGGCACAGGTGAAGGAGCAGCTACCTTCTTCCCCTGAACATAACGCATATGCGTTGCATTCGAGTTTTCGAGGAGAAATAGAGATAGGAAGAGCAGCGGCGCAGGAGCAGCTACCTTCTTCCCCAGAACATAACGCATATGCGTTGTATTCGAGTTTTCGAATTTGAAAAAAAAATCGAATAGAACACATATGCATTGTATTCGAGTTTTCGAATTTGAAAAAAAAAATTGAATAGAACGCATGTGTTGTATTCGAAATTTGAGGCTATTCGAATAGAACGCACATGCGTTGTATTCGTTTACAACGCATATGCGTTATGTTCAGGGGAAGAAGGTAATCCTTTCTCCGCAGGAAGTAGTCACTGCCACTGTCTCAGGGTCTCCTTGCCGGAACCGAGGTTAGCGTTAAGCGAGTAAGAACATGTAAGGCACACTGAACCCAGTTAGCTTGAGGAAGACTAGTGCATTCGATAAGTGCGTTCGATGAGCGGCCGAGGGACAGTGGGGACCACCCTCCCTCCCGTGCCCTGCCCCACCCTCGAGATTACCCTGCTGCGTGCCTGGGTGCTGCTAGCAAGTTTCCCGACCTGCAAGGTAATCCCTGAGGTAGGGCGATGGGCTGGGCTTGGGACAGTCCGTAGCAGTCCCCCTTTGCTCAGGCGGCTCGTGCCACGAGGGTATGGTTGTTCCTCTCTTTTCTTGTCTTTTCTCCCTTGTTACTTGTGAAACATGCTTGCCGGTGATAAGCAACGAAACCGATGCCCCCCAGAATAGAAGAGGCTGTGTGTTTTTTTGGGGAAAAAAAAAAAAGGGTGTGTAAAGGACACTGGGCCTGGTTCACAATAAAAGAACAAAACTTCGAGTTGATAAACAAAAAGAAAGTACAAGGTTCAATCTAGCCTGCAAAGTCCGAACCTCAAGAGTCAAGAGTAATTCAAAGAGTCCAAACAATCAATTCCCTCAATCGTCTGAGCTACGAACCCAATAGTGTTTGCAACATGTTTGAGGCTGAGACGAAGTTCGGACCTCACTCTTAACCTCCAAACTTGTGAAACTCCAATCAAACATCAAACGTTCACACGGAAGTGAATTTCCATCTCATGAAAGGGAACCCCCTTCGTGGTTTGAATTTTGAAACTTGAAAGTGATGTGCAAAGTCCAAACCCCAACTACATGCACTCGACACACTCGTATTCCACAATTGTTTTGACACCGACCTAATCTGCAAGGTCGCAACTCGAAAGGAACGCGAACTCACACAGAAGATTGAAATCGACAAATGGTGTATACAGCAACCCCCATAGAGCGTATGATTGACAATTTCCACAAAACTTCCGCGTGCCAGGAATCTGGTACGGAAGTGTGCAATCCCCCCGTCTGGGACTGAGCGTTATGTGTTCGAGACGGAACACTGATGGAGAGCTGTATGACTGAAAATTGTCATGTACGGTGCAGAGCGCAGAGACTCGCCTCTTACCCCTACCCAGTTTAGATTTTGCGTTAACTGCCGCGTATTTCTCTCAGAGGGGGAGAGAGAGAGAGAGAGAGAGAGAGAGAGAGAGAGAGAGAGAGAGAAGATCCAGAAGAAGGAACAGAAAGAGCATCCCCCCTACGATCTGCTGTCGTTTGGAGCAGAAAGTTCCTTTCGAGGGCAGGACAACTCAGACATTCGTGTATGGAAAAGGGCACAAGTGTTACAGATCTGCCCAGGGCTCGATCCCTGGGCAGATCTCTGGACCTCATGCTTGGAAAAGGGCATAAATGTCACGAGCATTGCCAGGGCTCGATCCCTGGACCTCATGCTTGGGAACAGGAAAGACCATCCGCCGTTTGCTGTCGATTGGCCACGATAAGTTCCTGCTAAGGGCGAGACAACTCAAATGCTCGTGTAACGGAAAAGGGCATAACTCTTAAGGATCTGGCCAGGGCTCGATCCCTGGACTTCATGTTTGGTACCGGACTCACTAATTCTTCTGCTATGTCCTCGGTACCGACACATTCTTCATTTCTGTCCCTTGGATATTTTTTTACCGGTACCCTCCGGGTACTGATTTATATCCCTACATACCCCTGAGACCAACCTACCGTCTTCACCCAAATAGAACGCCCCGTTGTTATCGCTGTGTCTACACTGAAAACTCCCCCAAAAAGTATATAGCTATGCCAACCGGTGAAGACGATAGCGATTGACAGCCTTAACCATATTGTTCTGAATACAATTATCAGTTGTCATGGCAGATTGGTGTGCATTGCCATGAAATCAACAGGGTGTGGTTAATCAACAGGGTGTGCTGGTTAATCAACAGGGTGTGGTGGTTAATCAAGGGGTGTGGTTAAAGAGCACCAAAGCACCAGGAGGGGTCGATTGCATTTCAACCGCCACTACAAGGCCCCAGCCTTGCAAAAGATCGCGAGCGGACAGCTCCAAACTTTTTGCGGCTCGGTGCTACTGGACCACAACGGCTGGCAGAAGCAGCCAAAAAAGAATAAACAATGCACTGCTGGCAGTTTGGAAAAGCTTGGCGTGCAGTGCAGCGCCTCCAGGCCCAGCTCTACTGGTGGTTTAAGGTCAGAGCCACTTCCAAGAGAGACATATCCATCTATTGCCCACCTGGAATCACTACGATCTTTTCATTTGCCTAACGCGAAGGAATCCTCGTTCACAAGATCTTTCATGGATTTTGTCACATTTTGACTGTTTGATTCTCTGCCGTCATGAGATTTTCTGCCTTTGAAAAAAAAAAAAAAAAGATATCGAAATTTCTCTTCCTTTTGGTTGCACTCTGATCAGATCATTCGCTGTTCTCAAGATGTCGAGATTATTTTCCCCTCATCTCGCATGCCAAGACAGGCACAGGCCACTACTCCGCGAGAGGGAAATAAAAATAAAAAATGCCCATTGCCAACTCCCTGAGTAGGAACACATTTTCCAGGACCTCCCATGATCATCCATGAGATGATAGCACCCTCCTCCTCCTCGACCCTCCATCACCCCTGTCTCTTATACACATCTAGATGTGTATAAGCGAAAGGGTTTAAGCTTGCTGTACCAATTTACTCGCT